TTTATCAAACATTATGATAATTACCACATCACATGCTGCGGAGACCTATCCAGAATCGGCAATATGCTGGCCCTGGCCTGGAGATCTGCAACTATAATCAGCTTCTACTTTGCAACACTAACGGATTAGTCCCCTTTGTCGATTGATGGATCAATCGGTAGATTCGGCTCTGTTTTTCTTTCCTTTCTTTCTTGTTTTGAATTGTACGTTGAACTCATTGGATTTCTTTGTATTCTGTATCTCGTTATCGTTATATTTCCCTCTAGCCCTCTCGCTTAGGATGAGCATTCTTTTTTATGGCAGCTTAAGCGAAGGCTATATACCTGCTTTATGCAGGTTGATGCCAACGCGAACAAGCAAAATAATAATAATAATAACATTCCCACAGGATTGGAAATCCGCCATCGTGACACCGCTTTACAAGAATAAAGGCTCCCGTGCTTGCCCGGCAAACTACCGCCCCATCTCTCTGCTGCGCACAGTTTCAAACTTTGTGACCGTATTGTATTCGATTCCCTCTACCTGCACATCTCTCCGGCTCTCTCACCAGCTCAGTCGGGATTCTGCCGTGGTGACTCAACTCAATACCAGGTGACTCGACTTGTCCAAGACATAGCGACAAAGAGGAACTGTGGGGAGCACGTGGGAATGGTGTTTTTCGACTTGGCTAAGGCATTCGACACCGTTTGGCATCGTGGCTTACTTGGCAAGTTGGAGGTCACCTTCCGGGTGGAGGATGCTGCCTTGCGTTGGATATCCTCGTATCAGTCTGCTCGTTCTCAGGCTGTTCGCTTGTCTTATTTCTTGTCTGATCCCCTCCCTGTAACGTCTGGAGTGCCCCAAGGTTCCATTCTGGGTCCTTTGTTATTCTTGCTTTACGTTAATGACCTACCTTCAGTTGTCCCCGATGTTAGTTTGTATGCGGATGACACTGGCCTTATCTGTTCTGATTCCTCCCCTGCACAATTACTCCTTACCATGCAGCATCGCATCAACAGCACTGTCATGTGGATGCAAACGTGGAAACTCCAGCCCAATTTAGACAAGACAGAAGCCATGTATATTTCTTCATCCCCTCCTGATCAACCATTATACTTCCCTGACTCGACTATGCCTATCCGTGTTGTTCCTCAGCACAAAAATCTAGGTGTGATGTTTGACTGCAAACTCTCTTGGGCTGCACATGTCAACTGTGTATGCAAGCGAACCAGTTCAGCATTAGGGGTACTACAACCACATTGCACTCATTTGCCCATCCAGTGTAAACTAGTATTATTTTATCAGTGCTATATTCTCCCTATATTCGACTATTGCGATACCGCTTGGTGTGGCCTTTCTGACACAACTCTGAACCAATTAGAAGTCCACCATAGATTTATACTTAAAATTCTTTACAACAAGGGTCGATGTTTTCCTTCGGATGCCCTTTATCGACTTGCACACACTTCTCCTCTCTCCGTTCGTCATAAGCACCATCTCTGTACACTGGTTCATAAAATATTTCTTCATAAAACCCCTTCACACATGATGAAGTACAATTGGTTTTCGACAAGCTCAACCCGTAACGCGCTCATCCTGCCTCTTGTTAAGTCAGCCCAGTATCTAAAGTCCCCTTTGTTTTCCGGCTACTCTCATTGGTTATCATTACCATACGGTCTGAAAACTTGTTCTTCTATTGGTCAGTTTAAAAATCTACGATCACAACTGAACTAGACGCAATAATTATCATCGAAGAACATTCTCGAATACCTGGGTGATGCACGAATTTTGATAGTGCTCACTTCCGTTAATCGTTTTTCTTTGTAATTTTCCATTCATTTTCTGCTCTATTTCATATTTGCTTTGTTTTCCTAGCTTACTATTGCCGTGGCTGGCTCAACGCCCTTGTCTCAGGGGATTCTGTCCCTGCATTAGCTATGCTGGTCACATGCTATGAGTTTGTGTCTAATAATAATAATAATAATGTCCAGTCCACTACAATCAGTGACGGTCGTAGCTAGGTCGGACGGTGCGTTGACCCCGTTGAACTTTTGCTACTACAGTACAACGCCCTCTACAAAAAATTCCCCTGTTATTTTGCACAGAACCATCATATACATTAGCAGCATATATGAGCATGATGCGGCATAATATGATAACTTTTAGCATAAAAATAGCATAATTCTGTCATTTTATCAGCAATGCGAAAAGCATAATTTCACGAAAATATTAGCATAATCCGTCAAGGCCTATTCGTCTTTGTTCCATAGCTTTTAGTGAGGATATTGTGGAGCAAGATAGCTGCCAAAACCTGAGAAGAGAGCCCTGAGCCCTCTGGTACATGGTGATTCCACCACATACGCACGTCAAGTTTCTCTTGGACCTGCTTGTAGTATTCTTGCCTACCTATTTCAACTTTACTCCTAAAGTGTGCACTTGCAGGTTTTGCATCCTGCCTGCGGAGACCATGTTGGCCGCTTCGTCATGATTGTGTCAATGCTATCAGCACAGTCCTTGGAATACTGAACTCATTCAGCATCTCAGTGAAATGCTCCTCGAGGCGAACGCTTGTGTGGCTTCCGTGGAACAAAGATGTCTGCAGCACAGCACTGACCAGAGTCTACTCGATTGTTATGAAATGGATCGTGTACGTAACTTTGCGTCGATGAGGAAGTCCAACCGTACGTCGTCACTGCGATGCCTTCTGCAGAAGCAGCGGTAATCAGTTCTACCAGTACCAGTTCCTTCTTGGCGTCTGCATGACGCTTCTTGAGGGGGTTCGCAATATGCGTTCTACACGGGACCAAATAGTTTGGCTCCATGAAGCTAATAGTGCGGACCAAGTCCAGCAAGAGTTCCCAGACCTCTCCAGCTCGTGCTGGTGAGCAGGGGCGAAACGCGGTGGGTGTAGAGCTCGAAAAGAATGAATGAAATGAATGATCGAGTGCTACGACTTTACTGGCCCGGCTTCCGATTCCGACGCAGCAGGCAGCACTGCCAGTACTTTCCGAACTCTGCAGACTGACATGCATGGAACATGGCTTTAGTTTAGGTGCGCGACCGTGCTGTACACCGTACATAGGTGGCTACATGATTCGCACGCTTCGCGTGCTCAGTGCTTCTGCGCGCGGCTGCTACTGCTACTCGTACTGATCGTGTCTGCTACCTACACTGTTGTTGTTGTTGTTGTGTTTATTTTAATTCGCAAACCAAACGGGCAGATCTGCCCAATGAAAAGGTGGCGAATGCAGATAGAAAGCAGTAATAAATGAAATTGGGGACTGATGTAATTAGGATAGAGGTGGAGAAAAACTAAGCCAGCTGATCATCAAACAGGACGTTTGGTACTCTAGGTACTAAGGGTGTGCGGGATCATGCTGGCGCGGAACTGGCGGAGCGTGGAGATGGCACGTATGTCGCTGGGTAAGGTGTTCCACAGCTGGGCGCCCCGGAACGCGAGGCAACCCATGCCGAACCTGGTGGAAACTGGCGGTTGGCGCAGACCCATGGTGGAGTGCAACCTAGTTGGGCCAGCTGACGAAGGAACTAGGAGGGCATGCAGATCAGAACTTGCGTGCCCATTCCGAGACCTCCAGACCAGAACGATGAACTTCTGCCTGAATATCTCGGATACCCTGTAGGTGTCCAATTGCAGCAGGAGGGTACGCGCGGAGGTGTGATGCGAGAGTCCGAAAACCGCCCTTGCCGCCCGATTCTGCATGACTTGTAGCCGATCCAATTGGTTGGCAGTAAGAAGCGGGGAAAACGCATTGGATCCGTACATCAGGTCAGACATGATGATCGCTTTAAAGTAGAGAACTCGGCTCTGATGAGTCAAGCAGCGACGCAACCTCCATAGTGCTCCGATCCTCTGGGCCAGTCGAGCGGTGCAGCGATCAACATGGGGCGTCCATGACAGATCCGAGTCGAGGAGCACTCCAAGATACCTGGCCGCAGTAACGACAGGAATCGGCGTTTCATGACAGTTTACATTGATCGTATGCTGGGGCTGCTGAGGCTGCCTGTTGGGGTATACAGGGATCACGTGGCTCTTGGCTGCATTCAAAATGAGACCACGGGTCTGCAACCAGTCAGCAAGTGCAGAAACCGAGGCCGATAGCGTAGCAGATACCGTGTCCAGTGATGTGCTGCTGCTGATCAGCGCGATGTCATCAGCAAATTGAACTGATGAAGACTGGTTAGCTATGGTTGGAACTTCGCGGGTGTAGATACTGAAAAGGATCGGTCCTAGAACAGAACCTTGTGGCACGCCACAGGATGGTGCAGAAATGGCACTCTGATCCCGTCCAATACAGATACGCTGAGTACGGCCCGACAGATAGGCGGAAAACCACTTTAGGGCTGTCCCTGTTATGCCGATATCGAATAGGTCCTGGAGTAGCCGTTCATGACGAACCTTGTCGAATGCCTTTGACATTATCTAGAAGGCATATGCCAGTACACAAACGCTTGTCCCGTGCAATAAGAATACGATTTAGCATAAGTACCAGGGCATCCTCCGTTGAGTGGCCTGCGCGGAATGCAAACTGAGTCGTGGGGAGGGTACCAGATATGTCCAGAAACTGGGCTAGCTTCTTTTGTACGACTTTCTCCAAGAGTTTTGATAATATGGGAAGTAGGGACACTGGACGGAAGTTAGTGGGAATAGACGGGTCCCCAGCTTTGAACAGCGGGATAACGTGTGCGAGTTTGAAGGCTGTGGGGACAGTGCCATTGACAAGCGAGGCATTAAACAACGTGGCCACGGACGCAGCTAGAATATCGGCACAGCACTTCAGAAGGTGACCAGGTATCCCGTCGCTTCCTGTTGCTTTGGCAGGATTGATTTGTCGGAGAAGCCGTTCTACTTCGCCAAAAGACACTTGCGGCAATTCTGACATTGCAGTCTGAGGCTGTGGACCTTGCGGTAGCGGGATGCTGTGAGGACGGGCATTGTCTGTTACTACTGCCTGGAAGACTGACGAAACTTCTTCAATGGGGCAAGTAGGCTCCACACGTACTCTCTTCCTGTTCGTAACGGAGTTTATGACGTTCCAGAGCTTACGCGGGTTCTGACTGGACGCGGCACATTGCGCTCGGAAGAAATCGTTGCGCTTTCGGCGATAGGCATTTCTGGCGCTTGAGCGTGCTTGCTTGAACTGCACGTGAAGATTCTGGTTTCCCTTATCGCGTAGCCACCGTCGGTGTAGCTGGCTTTTACGTTGGTTGAGCTTGTGGAGCTCTCTGTCGGACCAGGGCGGATGGGATTTGCGGTTGGAGGATACATAGCGGATGGGTGCATGCTTGTCCACGACAGCCAAGAACTTGGTGTGCCACGACGCCCACATGGTGTCCACATCCCGCGTGTTAGTAAAATCATCCAGCCCTGCGGAGCTGACATCCCGACGGAATTCGCAGAGCTTCACCGACCGAGTATTTCTCTGAGCTCGGACCCGCTCTACTTCCTGAGGTGACACGCTGCGAGAAACCTGAAGGTGCAGGTTAGCCTCAATCTCAAAGTGGTCGCTAATGGTCAAAGGCAGGACGTGGCACTCACTGATGTCTTGACTAGCTGAAAGAATGAGATGGATAGTTGTACCAGATGGGCACGCCGGTGAGATACGAGTCGGAGCATGAACGTGATTAGTGAGGCCGTAGCAGTTGCAAAGTTCGAGAAATTTCCGGGCGATAGGACAAGGTGGGTAGGGGGTTGAAACATTAACGTTAAAATTGCCAATGACTGTGATGCTTGGGTTGTCCACGAAAGCCCTGTGCAGCTGCTCTTCAAAATTCTGCCAGTACAAGATGGGCTCGTCAGGTGGCCGGTAAAAGCACCCAACTAGTTGTCGCCTTCGTCGCCCTTTGACTTCGATCCAGGACGATTCAATGTTATCGTCGGAAAGCTCTGGGCGCGGTTTTACCTGGAGTCCGGAACGGAAATAAAAGCATACACCGCCACCTCTGCGCACTGGACGATCGTGCCGTATCACACAGTAACCTGGTATATCAATATCACTGTCTGACGTTGTGCTGTCAAGCCAGGTTTCTGCGACGCCAAATATGTCGAAGTTGTGTTGCTGTAGGATATCGGCGACCTCAGCTACTTTGTTTCGAAGACTACAAACATTCAAAAAGCTCAGTCTTATGAAGGACTGTGTCAGTGGGGTAATGCGGTGAGCAGGGGCAGAAAGGTTATTCTGGGTACAAGAGCCATGAGCACTGGGACCTGGGATGCCAGCCCCGGGGGAGTGATGTTGACTGTGTACACTAGTAGTTAACTTGGAGGGGGAAAAGCTGGGTGCTAAGGGATTAAGAGACGCCATTAACATTTAAAAAAGGTACAGCCAAAGAAATTGTGTTCTGATGATCTATCATTACTAGGGAAAAGGGATCAGCATTGGGATTAAGAGCAAGTGCAGTAAGTATTAACCGTAATTACCTTCATTGCACTAGTGGCTTCCTCTGCGGGCAGCTTCAACTCTCTTTGCCAGCTTCTTGCGCTCACGGTTTGAACACTCCTTAGCCCACGCAATTTGCGGGTCGGTCAAGGCAGAGGCAGGTGGCTCAGTGCACCCTGATAGGACAGTGGCGGGGAAGGTGTGTTTGCCTGCTGCCAGTCTGAAGCCATCGTCATCAGGAGAGGGGGCTGTCCCGCTGCTCTTTTCTTTGTCTCCAGATTGGCTGAAAGCCGGCACATGGTTACTGGTATGAGTGGTGCCAGTGCTGGTCCCATTGGCTAAAATTGCCTGGCGATAGGTGTTGACTGAGGCAGTGTTCAACCCTGTGTTGCTAGCAGCACCTGTCTCCACACTGACAACAGCTGGCTCTACAGCGGCTTCTGCGGGCTGGGTAGTCACCGTACCCGTATCAGTGGCTGTACTGGCGCTGGGAGGGTTGTACTCGTACCGGTTGTGTTGCGGTGCTGTGCTTGTGGAAGCCGGGAAGCTGTAGACTGTGCCCCACGGTTGGGACATGCTTTAGCCTCGTGGCCACTGTTGTTGCAGCGCTGTTCGCACGCTTCGCGTGCTCAGCACGTGGTGGTGGCTACACGATTCGCACGCTTCGCGTGCACAGTACGGAGGATTAGCAAGACGAAATTCGCGTTCGCGTTCGTAAACATTTTTCAGTTCGCGAACTGCATTGCGAACTTTCGCATTTTTCGTTCGGAAAAGTAGTCGGAACACGAATCGCGGATTCGTGTCAGGGCAGTCATAAATTTACCACGCTGTACTGTCTGTAGACAATGTACGTCGTGTCAACGTCATGCACGTGCGAATTCTGTTTGCTAATCCTTCTCATAACGCGAATTCCGTCACTGAGTTCGACTTTCCTTGGAGAGCGAACGCGAACGCGAATTTCGTCTTGCTAATCCTCCGTAGTGCTTCTGTGACTGCTTCCCCTAGCTACGCGATTCGCACCCTTCGCGTGCTCAGTGATTCTGCGGCCGCTAGCTACACTGTTCGCACGCTTCGCGTGCTCAGGGCAGCGCTGCTCCGCAGCATGGCCTGAGCGTGACACACAGACACACGTCACAGGTGCCTCTTCTTTATAAGTAAAGATGAAAAAACATCGATATGCCATTATGTTTGGAAAAGAAAGAGTGACCGAGCATATAGGAGAAAAGAAAAAAAGATATTGCTATGCATTTGGACAAAGAGAACGGGAAAGAAACTGTACAAGGAGAAACAATATGCGCTGAATATGGAATACCGTTGTGTATGACAAGGTAGAAAGACTGCAGAAAAGAGGAAACATGCGTGAGGACGGATCTTGACCTTTAGGAAAAATGATTTACATACACCAAACGCATGAACTACATTACACCCCCAGCAGAGATGAAGCCGAAAGCAGTTGCGGAAGAACGCCAACCGGAAAAGATCTTGGAAAGGAAAAGAAAGAGTGAGCGAAGCGTACAAAGCTGAAAGACGGGAAAGAAACTGTACAAAGAGAAAAATTATGCGCTGAACGTGGAATACCATTGTGTATGACAGGTGGACACAAGGTCCGAATAATGGCGATGGAGTCTGATAACATAATTATTGGAAACCCTTTTTCAATACAATGATGTAGCCGATCAGGTTGAATAACATGCATGATGAGCTAGGCAAAAAGGCGTAGCGTATGGCACTGAGCTTTCAAGCTCTCTCGTTCATTGCCATTTTGTGCTTACTGTTTCCTCCACGAATGTTCAAATATCATACCCATAAGATAATAAAGAGAGAGAAACAGACAGACAGACACAGAGAGAGACAGAGACAGACAGAGAGATAGAGAGAAAAAAAGAGGGAGAGAGACAGAGAGACAGAGAAAGAGAGAGAGAGAGAGATAGATAGAGAGAAAAGGGAGATGGAGAGAAAAAGGGAGGGAGAGAGAGATAGAGAGACAGAGACAGAGAGAGAAAGAGAGAGAGGCAGAGAGAGAGAGAGAGAGAGAGAGAGAGAGAGAGAGAGAGAGAGAGAGAGAGAGAGAGAGAAAAGGAAGATGGAGAGAAAAAGGGAGGGAGAGAGAGAAAGAGAGAGACAGAGAGATAGAGAGAGAGGCAGAGAGAGAGAGAGAGAAAGAGAGAGAGAGAGAGAGAGAGAGAGAGAGAGAAAGAGAGAGAGAAAATACTGCGACAAACACTGTACACTATAACAATTACAACAACATCTGATCAGCCGTACTTTAAACAACAACGATGAGAATGGCGACAACAACAACAAAAATAACAACAACAACAACATCTCTTATTGGCAATGGTATAACCGTGAGAATAAAGAAGTCAAAACAACAACAACAATAACTACAACAGGAACGTGAGAATAAATGACTAAAACAACAAATACAACAACTACAGCAAAAAAGAACCACAACAACAACAACAACAACAACAACAACAACAACAACAACAACAACAACAACAACAACAACAACAACAACAACAACAACAACAACAGCAACAACAACAACAGTGGGAGAAAGAAAATACAAAAACATTAGCTGCGACGACTATGACGACTCTGGCGACTCTGACACTGGCAACAGCACGGGTGCATCACCTGGTCTTAGGTAGAACACTTTGATATGGGGTGGAAGGGGCTTCAGCACCCGGATTCCCCCTCCCCCCCCCCCCCCCTGGTTACGACACTGGGGGCACCTACTGGGATAGCATGCATGGCTGGTACAGGCAGGTTTGTCCACTGATAGTGGCTCTAACTGATCCGCTTCACTGCCGCTCCAAGTCTTGTTTCTGCCTAGATCTCCAGTGTGTTACCATACTCTGTCATGGCTTCAAGCAGATCCTCTTTGTTCCATAGCTTGTACTTGTAGTCAGGATACTGTGAAGAAAGATAGTTGCCAAAACCTGAAAAGATAGCCCTCTGGTGATTCCACCACATACGCACGTCCAGTTTCTCTTGGACCTGCTTGTAGTATTCTGCACAGGCGGTGCAGTAGTCTCCGAAGGACATCAAAAGACGCTCTTCGATGTACGCTTTCACTGCGGAATCGTACTTACAAAGCTTCGCAACTTCAATCATTGCCCGACGGTTGAATTCACAGCTACTAGTCGTCTCGCTATCCAGGTTTTCAAGCATCATCTTGCGGTCTACAATGCCGCAGTAAAAATACAGTTCCAGTGTCTGTCTACCACCTTTGAACATGTAGTCAGCAACACGACACAGTCTCTCATAACGGTGATGATAGACTAAGCACGTTTCTAGTTTGGGTGTCGACCCATGCAGCTTCTTAAGTAAAGAAGCCTGGTATGCCTCTACAGAGCCGTATCGAGCCAACTCCATCTCCATCAGGCTGCTAATGGGATAATATAAGCGGTCAAACACGTCGGCAAGACTAGGACCAGTATACCGTTGAACTAGATCCTTTTCTGTTAAGTCGAGGAACATCTTCTTTGCATCCTTACCAGTAACAAATAGATTGGCATTAAAGCCGGGCAGTTTAAACAAATAGGGTTTCTCTGCCTTCTCTTGTTGTCGCATAATTCCACTGAAAACTGGGAGACAATATAACAACCTTTGGAGACTGCGTTTCTTGTTTCCTGCAAAGGCAAACGTAGTATACACTTTTGCGAGACTGTCCCAAGTAACCCGCTTCCAATGTGCCACTGACACAGCCGTGTAGAGTATTCTGCATATGGTCTTGTAGCTGATGTTCATGTGAACGTTCGGGCTCATGTCGTACCGGCACTGCACAAGGAAAACAATTTGAAGAGACGTTAATTTAAGGTGATATTGAGACATAGTGTCCTCTTTGCAGAGTATCATTCTTGCCTACCTATTTCAACTCTACTCCTTAAGTATGCACTTGCAGGTTCCAATTGATGTTCGTAACCAGAGAATGTTCTTCGAAACCTATGGAACAACCTTGCATTGTTGTGCATTCAGAGGTACAGTAAAACCTGTCAAGGCGACCACTCGGATAAGGCGACCACCTGTCCTAAAAGGCCACTGGAACCAGGACCAAGGGATGCTATTTCCAGTCCACCGACCCTGGACAAGGAGACCACATTTTGAAGGTCCCTTGTGTGGTCGTCTTAGACAGGTTTAATTGTATACACGCTCAGTTCATTTCATGGGCGTATTCGGCGTCGATGGGTTTGGTGGGAAACATTCCGGGAATACACCAGTGGCATTCACACGCGCATTCCATTCACGCCAGCGACTCCATGCAAAAGTATAATGCACGTTTCACATGCGAAATCAGGTTGTACATTGTAGTGCTGACACAGTGAGGGCACGTAACAATTCAAATAAACCTATAGTCCACAACGATTTAGTTCGAAGTAGTTCATAATCGTAGGTACAATGGAAGGAAAATTTAAACTAAAAAAATTTAAAATTTAAACTAAAAAAAATTAAAATTTAATTTAACTTTAATTTAGTCATAACTCGTAACATTTTGTCCTTCTTCTTTTCACATAGCAAGGCGTTTTTTTGTTTTTTTTTATATGGTTGCAGCCAGGAGATACAAGGATCCTTGATTCTAGCTACATATATAACACCCGAAACTCGGGTATTGAGCCAATGATAAATGTAGAAAAGAAAAAGGACATATGGAAACGAGTTGGGAGTAACTCTCCACCACTGTAACTAGATACTATATACAGTCAGAAAGTGCAACAACTAGGCACAAAAACTGACAGAGTAGTGAGACATTCGATGTCCTGACACCTAGCTTCAACACATCTCTGTAGCGCTAACCGACAGCCTTCCAACTCGAAAGGTTCAAGGTTATGGAGAGACCAAAGAGGGGAAGGGTAGTGCTACGGAGATGTGTTGAAGCTAGGTGTCAGGACGTCGAATGTCTCACTACTCTGCCAGTTTTG